TATTTTTAAGTATTCTATTATAAAATACATTATTTATACTGGCTACACTATTTTAGGATTAAATTTACAATAAATTATTAACAAACTTTTATGTTAGATACAAATCAACTCAACAGTCTTGAGATGGAATTTAATAGGAAAAAAACATAACAGTCTTCAAGTGGATACATATCTTGTCTCTTATGGTTCATCTTGAGTAAAACAACGTTGAACGACTAAGTGAAAGAGCCATTTGAAAACTACCTTGAAACATGGGTTAAATGTAAGAGTGTTTCATCTACACCTCCAAGATCTCATCCTGTACCTCCAAAAATTCCACTTTTAATCTTCTGACATCTCATCATCATCCTGCACCTCCAACCTTTTCAAAACTTTATTTTTAACTTTAATACATATTTTTCCATTTTCTTTTCTTTTTTATTAAAAAAATCTTCACTACCTTAATAATAATTTAATTTATTATATTTTAAAATTTAAATATTATTTAAAATAATTTTTTATTTTAATAATTATTAAAATATAATTTATATTATAATAATAATTATATTAAAAACATAAAAACAAAATAATAAAATAATAATAATAATAATAATAATAAATAATAATAAATAATAATAAAAATAAATTTGATTTAACATATTCAAATATATTAAATTATATTAAAATATTAAATTAAATTTAATAATTATTAAAATTTTAAAAAAACAAAATTTTGAAAAATTTGTTAGTCGGATACAGATATCCGATATATCCATATCCGATAAAGAATGGTTTTTAAAATTTTATTTTATATATAAATTTTAATAATTATTTAATTTAATTTAATATTTTAATATAATTTAGTATATTTAAATATTTTATTTAATATAATTTTATTTGTTATTTGATAAATAACTGTTTTAAAACTTTGGTTATTATTTAAATTTTAATAATTAATTAATTTAATTTAATATTTTAATATAATTTAATATATTTAAGTATATTAAATATTTTATTTAATATAATTTAATTTTTGTTATTATTTTTATTTTTAATTATTTTATTTTTTATTTTTAATATAATTATTATTATAACATAAATCATATTTTAATAATTATTAAAATATAAAATTATATTAAATAATATTTAAATTTTAAATTTAATTATTATTAAGGTGATATAGAGTCTTTTTAACAAGAAAAAGAAGAAAATAAAAATATATTTATTAAAATTAAAAATAAAATTTTCTATAAAGTTAAAGGTGTAGAATAATGATGAGATGTCAAAAGGTTAAAAGTGAAATTTTTGGAGGTGTAGGATGAGATCTTGGAGGCGTTGGATGAAACACTCTAGATGTATTAGGGTAGGCCTAAAAGTTTTCTAATTTCTTTGTTTGTTGTTTTTTTCTCTTTAAAAAATAAAACAAAATCAACATAACAGTGTTTTCCCCCATGCTTCTCAGAAAATAAAAGGTTTGGATGTTTCTGTAGTTCATAAGATATAATCATATATATTTTCAGTATTTAAAAACTTATGTTAAATTTAAAAATGTTTTAACAACTATTTTTTAGGTTTTTATTAACTGCAATCGGTTTAATGTTAAAAATGATAAAACAAAGATAAAAAGTATTTTAGATTAAAATTATTGAAAAAACTAAATTCATAATTTAATTAATGTGTCATTCCACGTAAGATCCAATTTTTAATAGTATTCAACTGTCATAAAATCATCATGCATCTAATACACAGAACAATTAACTCAAAAAACATAAAGGATACTATTTAATTAATTCATACTCAAAGAACTTAAAGGATACTATTTAAGTTATTCATATATAATTATAATACCAAATTATACATACAAGAATCTTATAAAATTAAGAATGTTATTACATTAAATAAAAATAAGTAATAGAGTCTTTTAAAGACTGATATAAACAAAAAATTAGCATCTTTGAGCATCATCCCTATATGTTCATACCATTAAGGTGATGATTACAAATAAGAAGACAAACATACAAACATACAAACAAACAGAGATAAAAAGATAAATTAATTTATCAAAAGAGCATTCATACAACAAAAATATAGATGTTAACACATACAAAGTTATATCAACAAATTCTAAGATATATAATCATTCATTCAAGACTTCACCTATCAGATACATGTATTGATGTCAAAAATTGACAGGTTATGCACTTGTGATAGCTTCTATTGTTCTGTAGAGCCATTGCAAATGAGTTTCATCTTACCACACACACAAGATTAATTTGTTAATGTCTTAGGTCAAGATAAAGTCCCTGAACTATAACTTTTGATATTGTATATAAAGTTTGACTTATAGTTATTTTGGATAACTTTATAAATATTTTATATATATTCCTTGAGTTAAACTATTTTATTGTATTGATCTTGTGATAATTTCTTAATAGTGTTTATACTATTTTAATAAGATGTTACATAATGTATTTCAATTTCTTGAAATAGTTAAAACCCCTCTTCCAATTTCAAGGTTAATATTCACATAGTATAATCTCAAAGTTAAATTTGTTTTGAAATCAATAGTTATTTTTAATTTATTCCTTCAGAAATTTAATTATTGAAATTCAAATAAAAGTTAATAATAATAATTGACATTCCTTAGTGTTGTTTGTTTGCAAGTCTAGGTTACAATCTAGTGAGGTTTTTCATGCATCACATCAAATTTCTTCCTGCACTCCATATGTTTTCAGAAAATTTGATCCAAAATAGGAGTGGAGTGAATGACTTCAGGAAAGATATTTCCAGAATTTGTCTAGTTTGTTCCGGAAAGCAAAATCCGGTTGGTGGGGTGAAGAAGAAATTTGATGGTGCTGGAAGAAATACCCTGCAATTTACTATTGAAAGTGGACGAATATAGTTGTGGGGCTAAAATTGAAGCCTTGGGACTTTTGGTGGTTATTTCTTCGTGCACTCTTCACAGTTATGACGGTGTCTCATTTCATAAACCGGAAGGGTAAAATGGAGATTTTAATATTTATTGAGATGCAAGATGAAAATATGAAGACACAAAAAGAAATTGTGGATTTTGTAACCCTGGGCCATCATTTTGGTATTTTATTAGTTAATTTGTCAAAAGAAAATATTGTTAGTTGCACCCCTTATTTTTATTTAAACTCCAATGCATTAATATTATGTATTTTGACAAAAAGGATCCGTACAACACAAATACGTTTTTATTGTCTGTCTATCTACGTTTTCATTGTTTATTATTATTAGTTCACAGTCTTTGTCACTCATGAGAACTTATTTTCCTGTATATTATTCTACTATGCAATATATGTTATATTTAAGAAATATCTTTATACTAAAATGTAAAATAAAGATTAAAGTATAAATATAATTCCTCTTGTTAAAAATACATTGCGTAAAAGTTCATAAGCTGGTTTAAAAAAATGAAACAGTTCAGTATTCTTGCAAATGTGATATTCCCAATAAAGTAAGATAATATAAACCAATGAAATTGCCATTTATTATGTCGTATTTGTTTGGAAAGTAATTTATTTTGTAAGCTTAATTTCACTTTCGGTATTTCTAATATTTTGTTTGTATAATTTTAGTCCCTCGTGTTTAAATTGTACATGAGTCCTCAACCCATCACGTATGTACAATTCTAGTAGTTAAAATTTTAATTGTATTAGGGGAGTAACTTGAAAATGACTATTAAGGCCAAAACCTTATTTTTACGATTCAATAAATTAAAATTCTACAATAACCTCACCTATCAATTTATCTCTCTATCTATTTATCTATCTATATATATATAAACGAGTAAACGAATAAAGATATAATTAATATCTTTAAAATACTCTTTACAAGTATACAAAAAAATATTAACATGAATGTTATAACTTATTTCCACAAAGGGAACTCGACCTTCTTCTTTTTTTCATTCCTAATATATCATTTATATTTATAATGTTTATATATTGTTTTTGTCTATTATCTAATTGTACACCTATTTTGGGTGTAAATTTAATATTTTTCTTATATTTTTTTCTTATTCGATGTGGGGAAGATAAATATACATCTTATTTTGTGTTCTGCAAACGAGTTAAAACAAGATAAGGATGAAAAGTAAAAACAAAAGAGGAAAGAGAAAATAATAAATAATAAATAAGAAATGAGGTGATAAAGAATAAAATAAAACAAAGTAAAATGAATTTTTTGTGACGCGTATACACGCCACTTAATACAGCATGAATCATAAAAGACTTCAGCCAGCTCAATTTTTCAAGTTTCTGGCTAATACACAAACCTTCCATTTTCTTCTTTATACTTACTCAATACAGACAAAATAACATTTTTATATATAAAATAATTTGAAATAAATGAAATAAAAAATAAAAAATCACTTTTTATTAGATACTACAAAGGTGTATAAAATTTAAAAAGTTTACATGTAAAATTTCCCATAAATATATTTGCCACTTCTGACAGAAGAAAAAGCGAAAACAAATGCATTGCTTCAAGTTGAATTAAGTCTAACACAAAAATCCATATTAAAATTAAAACTCTGTTAAATTAGTACCATTTATCATATATGGATATCATTGATCTAAGTTGTTCCAAACATCGATGTTGTAATACATCGCTTATAATATGTCCCTGCTTCCTTTGCCTTCAGTTCACCACCATTGCTGGTGCTTCCCATTCATCATCAGCCCCTTTTACTTTCTCAGGATGAAAAAAAATCAACTTTTTTCTTACACATCAATTTTACAGAAGTGAATTAAATCGAAATATAAATTTAAAAATGGTATAAAATGATTTGACAGAGTGAGGGTAGCGTGTCCCATAGGAAAAATTGATTCATGCACGAATGTGGCAGGGTAGGAAAATGGTCTTAAATATAATTTGGGACACCGTGTCTGATGACAGCAAGGCTCTGTGAAGACATTAAAGTTTCATTTACAATGCTCAACTGCCCCTCACCCGTTAGTTAACTTTCTCCCCTATAAAGAAACAACCTCTCCAAAGTCTTCACCTCACAGACTCAGAGTAACCAAAGGAGACTGCAACTACTCATTGTGTGTTCCTAGTGTGTGGGAGTCAAACAGAGAGAGAGAGAGAGAGACATGGCTAAGTTTTGTGTCTTGTTCTTGGTTCTTGCTTTGGCTGTGGCCACAAGTGCCAGAAACGCACCCACTGATGCTGGTCTCAAGGACCAGAAGAACTTCATCACCTACGGTGGAGTCGGTGGCTATTCCGGAATTGGGAATAATGGACTACCTTTTGCAGGAGGTGGTGCTGGAATAGGAGGTGGTTTTGGCGCCGGTGGTGGACTCGGTGGTGGCCTCGGCGGCACTACTGGCATCGGTGGAATCGGAGGACTCGGCGGTACCGGTGGTGGAATTGGTGGCGGTGTTGGTGGTGGCGTTGGAAGCGGCATTGGAAACGGCGTTGGTGGGGGTGTTGTTCCTTTCCCTTGAGATCGTTGAAAGTGCATGCATGCATGCATGCATGCAAGGGTTCTTCTGGATGACTCTAGTGTTTGTTTTCGTTCAGGAAATAATGTTGTTTATGTGCGTGTTCATCAGCCAGCAGTTTAGTGTTTCACGTGTTGGGAAAGTGAAAAAGAGTAGTGTATCTTGTAACGTGTCATTCCATCTTTCATTTGTTTAGGTTTTCTGTCAACCATAGCACTCGTATATATACGTGGTTCTTTCATAGTTGCAACATTTCATTTTAGCTTCCAAGTAATATGAGTTCAACTTTCTATTTGCTTACCTCCACTTCCTGGTTCAACTTTCAAATGTTTAAGATCGTGTGTGCTAAATAATATTTAAAAATAAATAATTTCAGTTTTAGAATACTTTACATATACTATATGGTAATTAATCAATTTACTTCAAAATACGACTAAACTCCTTATCTCTACTCTTTATTTTCTTAGTAATTATCTAAGTTAATTATTAGATTATGTAAAGAAATATTATTGGATTGACGTGACTATTATATTCCAAATATGTGCAAATGGCTTACGAATATAGAAATGTCTAATACAAGATTGCGACTACTTTTTTTCTTTCAGCAGACACTTAAAAAATCATTTTAATAATAAAATTTTATATTTAAATAATAATAAATATAAATAAAATTTTAAAATAAAGTAATAAAAATATATGTAGTTATATATAAAATAAAAGAGTGTCAAATATCATTACTGTTTGAGCTCAAAAATCGGATTTTCTTAAGGAAATCAAGTTTAGTATGATTCGGAACTACCACTGCTTGATTAAAAAAAGGAAAAAAAAATATAACAATTTAAGGAAATGATAAAAAAATTCAATATTTTGTATTTGACCAAATAAATGTGCTAAGGAATTAAGCTCAACAAGATCTATCAACTTTCGTCTTAGTAAAACAGTTATACAATATTCCAAGTAAATTGAAAATCTCGTCAATTGTATTGTATTATTATTTACGGCCCGTTATTATTATTATTATATCAAGTAAACGTAGTCTATTTTACTGATATCATTTAATATTATATTATTAATTTTATATCATGGATCCTAAGACTGAAAGACCTTATAAATATATTTTTGTTATTTTTCAAAAAATACTCACTCATTCTTATATTCATTTTCTCTTATTCAAACAATTTTATTAATTTGAATGTTAGAAAATATTTTGTTAAGTAAATTTTCTGTGTTTCAAACTTCAAGAGTACATGTTAAGATTTTTCAAACCACTTAAATTTTGTTATTTATGTGAATATTTACACTCAATATAATCGATGAGATCAGTGTGAAATCAAGATGTAAAAAAGTAATTAAATAAAAAAAAATTCTTTCACATCTAATCCACTAAAATTATTATCCCAACCCACATAATCATTACAAAAATGCATGTTATTAGACTATAGTTGTTATATTTCCAAATTATTACGAGTGTCATACTATTTTATTTTTATAAAATAACTAACAATTAAAAAAATTAAGCATATATTAGATTTGATGATGGTAAAACTCACTATACACACCATACATATACATACATACATACATACATATACATACATACATACATATATATATATATATATATATATACATATATATATATATATATACATACATACATATATATATATATATATATATATATATATATATATATATTAGAAAACACTCATCCAACATTAATTATATCATATTTCTATTTTAAAATTTAAAATTTAAAATTATTCGAGACGATTCAAAAGTAAAATTATTATCTTTTTATTAAGTGTTAGATGTGTAAGAAAACTTTATGCAAAAATTTTAATTTTTCATGTAAATCAGATAATCCTATTAAAAGTAATGATATCACACCATCATTTTTCTCTAACATTCAAGCAAACACATTATAAATTATGATTTTATTACAATTTTTTTTTTCTTAAAATAATTAACCAGTCAAACCAACAAAAAGTTCCCGGTAGTGTGGAGTTCAATCTTCCACCTATAGATTCTTATTTCTATACATATATATAATGGTTGAGATTCCAAAAAATGAGCTGTAGAAGATCTTGATCCAATCCAAAGCACGGCAAGAGTGTAGATGACATTAAATTTTCATTTACCATTCTCAACTGCCCCTCGCTGCAGGTTAGTTCATTGTCCCCCGTAAAAAACACATTCTCCAAATTTCCACACACGACACAGTCACTGAGAGTAACCGAAGGAGAGTTCAAACATTTCCTAGTGTCTGGGAGTGAGACAAAGAGAGAGACATGAAGTGTTGTGTCTTGGTGATGGTTCTTGCTCTGGTTATGTCCACAAGTGCCAGAAATGTACCCAGCGATGCTGCTCTCAAAGATCAGAAGAACTTCATCACGTATGGTGGCATTGGTGGTTACTCCGGAATTGGGAGCAACGGACTACCTTTTGGAGGAGTTGGTGCTGGAATAGGTTATTAGAAAGTGGGTTTTTTAAGCTTAACTCAACCCCACAAAACCGGCTTGTAGGGTGAGGTTTGCACCTCACTTATATATATTATAATTTGACCTTATCTCTAGTCGATGTGGGACTTCCAACATAGGTGGCGGTGGACTAGGTGGCGGCACTACCGGGATAGGTGGACTTGGAGGCACGGGTAATGGAGTTGGCTGCGGTGGTGCTCATCCTTGAGTTGACCACCATTCATGCATGCATACATGCATATGGTTTCTTCATGTTTCTTTGGATTACCCTAGTCTTTGGATTTCCTAGAGTGTTTATGATTTATGTTCGTGTTGTTAATTAATCGTGCAAGCATGCTAGGTTTATTACCATTGGAGAGTAAGTTGAATGTCTTCTAATGTTCATATTTGTGTTAATTAAAGTATCAACCTTACGACTCATATATATATATATATATATATATATACTTACACTTATGAAACTTCCCTTTCCTTTCGTACGGAAAGGTCTCAGTTAATTGGGGGCCATGCATTAGCTTTATAGCCACATGTTTTTGTTGTACATATACACGTATTACATAGAGACATATCAGAGTAAAAAAAATCTGGTTTTTGTGGGTGTCCGTCAGTTCTTAAAAGATAACAGATAATGGTGTTGACTATTGAATGCAGTACTGCAATTTTTTCAGCAAGAATTAATAGGGGGTCATTTGGGATTTACCATTATTTATGAATGTATGGTAAATGCCATAGCAGCAATAGTTTGGACCAAATGTACTTATAGGTAAAACATTTGAAGGTTCCTAAAATATATAGACAAAACGAGTTACACATTACTTGCTTACTATTATAGCAAGCGTAGTTCAAAATACTGATTAATTATCACTATTTGTGGATTTGAATGGGGGAATGTTCTGCTCTCGTCTTTCTTCCTCCATGGAGATTCTAGCAATATATATATATATATATATAGGGTGGTCCAACGTGATTCAATCCATAGCCAACAACTGGTGATATCTCTTTTGAATAGGTTGGTGTTGTCTGAGTTCTTAATTAAGCCACAAAGAGAGTAAACAAAGTCATATAGATCAGTCTGTAAGAGCATTCATTTGGAGATTTTCCAGTACCTACCCATAGTATATAAATTCAAAGCATTTTATCAACTTTATGAAGGGTTTAATTATTTTTTACCTTTTTCTTATTAAGAAATTATCTAAAAGAAATCGTATTCAGACGATTTTTGGACAAGAGTTTATAAAATTCTTTATCTAAATATTAAATTTATAACATTAAATTTTAATAATAAGACCCTGATCTAAATTTATTTTATAATATAAATATAAGTTTATTAAACAAAAATTACAATTTTTTTAGAAGAAATGTAGAATAATAAAACCTACATAAAGTAAAAGAAAAGTTTGATAATATAATATTTTGTATTAGATTTTTGTCTAATGGACTTTAAAAACCCACTAAATAATGGGATTGCAATCACGTTTTCTATTTTCTGTCTGTGATTTTAATTTCAAATTAATAATTGTTGTGAATTATTATTAAATTCATAATTGTTATGCTGATGTTCCACATGCTCGAGACAATTTTAAACAATTTCTGATAAGGGTTACACAATTTCTCTTACTTTGAAGTTGTTTCTAATTAATAATGTATATATTTTGACAAAGTTCTTATTGAAGCTAATTACATCATGAAAAAAGCTTGGTTATATATTTACTCATATAGAAAGAGAAAGTTTCATATAATAAGTGAAAGTATATAATAATATATGATAACTAAATAAAAGACAATCTTATTATAATTATAACATAATAGTAGAAGACAGAATATAATCACAAACTTAGATATGAGAAATGTGTTCGATGAAACAACTTTTAAGAGAAATTAAAAAAAAGGAAACGTTAAAATCTATAAATCTAAAATTAAAGAACAATAATGTATATACGCTTTTCTGAAATATTAAACGGAAAATCTCTTTCTAACCATTTTTTTTATAACTTTTTTACAATCATCTATGAAATAATCTATGAAATAATTTATGATTAGTCCATTTTAAATATTCAGAACAATAAAATAGGGACACCTAATTTATTATGAAAAAATTGTTAATATATCCTAATTCATATTAAACATATGTTCTTTCGTATTGAATCTCTTGCATTAGTTGATACATTTCCTTGACAATACACATAAGAGATTGATAATTTTGTAATAAAAAGTCCATCATTATCTGAATTCCTTTTGTTACGTAAGTTAACTTCATTCACTTGTCATAAGATGTGTAATCAATTACAGTTAATATCTAATCAATTATGTAGCAAAGAACAGAAGAAAGTTAAGACTGCTGGTCCACTGCAATCTCCATTAAAATCACCGTGAGGAACTATTCCAGATTTTGATGATCCTCCTCACGCGTATCCCTCCTATAACAGTGAATACTACAAGGATGGGTCAAATATTAAAGGGAAAATTTTAACGGAGATTCCTTCAAGAGACACTTTTCTCAATAATTTTTTCTTATTTATTCAAAATCATTCATGATTTTAGGAGAGAAAGATGTTAGAGGTTGTACTGTTATTACTACATACGTACCACTGCTTTAAATATTAAATAGTAATGTCAGAGTTTGGTGAAGTTTTGAATGAAATAGAAGAGGTTGGGCAGGCCCAGTTAAAAGGTGTGCAGATGGCAGCAGCTCCATCTTACATGTTCAAACTAGTTCCAGAATTGGTAGCTTGCAGCTGGTAATAGTTGCATGTCAATTGAATGATCGAATTCAAAACCTCGTCAACCGTAGTAAATATCCATCACCTACCTTCTCTATTACAATTTGCGATCTCTAACAAAACCATGTCTGCAATACTGTGGTTGTTCACTCATCCATGTACATACTCGATATACGATAGACATGTGAATAATATTGTAATAACAAGTGAGATGAAGAAAATAGAAAGTGACAAGTGTGTTCATGGTTTTTCATACACACAACACGGTTCGATGAGATTTTAATGGAAGGAAAATTTCTAAGTTTAATAATATACACAGTAGTTACATACCTAAAACGAAAATTGTGGTTAAAAACATTAAATAATGATAGTAGTTTACTAAAATGGTGGTTGCATGTCTTTTAATTAGTTCAAAAGACATCTTTTATTTCGTGCTTTCGGTACTTGTTTTTTTTTTCGCATATTTTTCTTTTGTTGCTTTTTAAGCATAGTTGATTATTGTGCATTAAGTTTGCTCTCTTTTGTCATCGTTTTATTTGTGTTATTTCCTTTTTCCCACTGTAGCCACTACCTTCCACTTGAATTAGTAGCCCCTTTGTTAACATTGTATTTTGTGCTATTCCAATCACACAATTGAGTCTTAAACTTTCTAAAAATGATATAACTTTATCTTTTACAAAACTAACTTTATTATTTATATAATATTATACTAAACTAAATTTATTATTTATATAATATTATACTGATATTAAAATTGAATTTTTAATGTGTACAGTATGACCAGACGACCTACATGACGATAAAGAATGACGCCCGATAAGGACGGTGAGTTCTACAGCAGATAACAACTAATCCTAAGAAGATTAAGGTAAATCATGATTAAGGGTATTGAATCGTGATTGGGCTGAGATTAAAGTATCAATAATCCTAGACCCACGCCCAAAAATTATAAATATAAGTTAAAGGTAAGAGGTAGATGATTGCATTTACTGTGCATTTATTATTGTTACGTTGAATTATCGAATGGTTCACCTACTGACTTTGGCATCCGAGCACCTTTAACAGGTACATCTCCGAACGGGAAAGCAAGACAGGAGACCAGGAAGCAAGACCGAGCGGTGGAGGAGGACAAATTGTGAAAATGTTTGGTGACTCGACCCGCAACTGAAACATAATGTATTAAATTAAAATAATGTTAATACAAATATTTATTTTATATTTTAATTATTTTAATAAAAATATTATAACACTTATACAAATAAAAAATTTGATTTTAATTTAGATAATAACAGCATTAAAAAAAGTTAATTAAATTAAATCAAACACTCCATACTCTGCCACGTGATACTCATAGACATGACACATAGACAACAATTTTGTTTTTAAATAAATAATCTTAAAATTAAAAAAAATAAAAAACTATTAACTAATATCTAATATGTCTTTAACAATATTGGTAAAAACTAACAAAAAAAACCCTATTTAAATCCACTTTTCAAGAATTGAGACCTGATTAAAATAAAAATAGAAGTAGACATGTAACTTTTCAATCAAAATAATGAAAAATGAGTAATTAATCCATACATTTATCTACAAAATAAGACGTGTAATTGGATAACAGGTCTATTTTAACTTTTGATTTATTTATGTAAATCATTATTAAGTTCTTTATGTTGATGAGAAAATGGATCACATTTGTTCCTTATAGATTAAATATAAGAAGACACACCTTCAATTGCCTAATTTATATTTTGCACAGTGATATTTATAACTTATATGGGACAATTTGTATTGAATATATGTATGTTAATGCACTTTGTTCTGCCTACGTCTTCATATATTTTACAAATATTTCATACAATTAATTAATAATATAAAAATAGAATTATAAAAAACGATAATGTAATACAATTAAGAAAGTTAACTAATGTTAATTAGTTTATTAAATTAAAAAATTAAATTGAATTTTTTTGATAAAAATCGATTAAAAGTTAAACTGTGAAATTACTTATAGATTGGTTTTAGAAGTTGTTCAGTTTGTATATTAAGATTTCATCCTTCCAACAATAAAAAATGAAGAGTTGCGTATAATGCTACGCCTTTTTGGCACTCACCTTAAGCTCTGAAAAGAAAAGAAAATGCTTGATTCCATTTAGGCCCATGCCATTTTTCTTCACCTATTGGGCTACATATGGTATTATTTGGGGCTTTTCTTCCTGTACCACCTTTTTCTTCTTCATCCCTTAGAATCATATATCCTAAATTTACACTTATAAAGTTAAAATAAAATATGAAAAATTAGTCATATCAGGATTGTAAGTAGGTGACAAGAGGTATTATTAGATTAAGAAACATATTCTAAATTAAACATTCTGAAACGTCTTTTAAATTAAAAAAATTTAGAATACACTTCGGTGATAAAATATGGATTAGACATTCGAGAACGTAAATATATGTTTTGGAATATACAAGTTGAGATGAAACTTTG